GGTTGTGAATCTGAAGGAAAGGGGGAAAGGCGAGAGGCAGACGGGGCGATAACTGTCAGTTTTATTGCCCCCCCCTTTGGTCACTGAAAATCCCAAAAGGTAATATGCTTTAACGCGCCCCCTCCCCCCCCACCTCCTCCCCTCGAGTGGAAGTTAAGGATGATTTGTGTGAGAAACTGCAACGCTTTCATCCTCTCCTAAATAGTCCTCACCGTGATCGTGGGCTTTTTTTTTTAAAAAAAAAAATCCCAAACACAGGTTTCTTGCCGATGCACACATTTCTTACCACTCGCTCCCCTTTGCATAGGAATATATTTAGATAAGAGACAACTATCCCCTCTAAACTGCTAGAGAGATATCACGCAGCCGTACTTACGATCGGTATTGAATCGAGTTGACCTTTTCCTTCTACAACTGCACTGAGAGTGTGTTTTTGTTGCAGCCGATTTTTAAGATTTTGGAGGAGGAAAAAAAATTCTATATGTCTTCAACCAGATTTTTTATATATATATACAGGGGAGGTTTGTTTTTTTGAAGAAAAGAGCACCAGATTGCAGGAGGTCTTAAAATAAAATGGGATTGGTTGGAAATGGGGGGAAAAATCCTTTGCAACACACTCTCTTAACTCGCTTTAACGCGCACGCACCCATACACAAACACTACGCAAACCAGCTGCTTGGACTGCAGAAATCAAAACGGGAGAGTGTGAAGCGAGCCTAGACTCTGTACCTGAAAGGGACTTTTCTTTGTTCCCAATGCCCTTTCCCATCTGCCCAATGGGAGGCCAGCTTTTATGAAACCGGGCTCTCTGATTGGCTAGCTGCTCCTCTTGGCTGCCGGAGGGGGTGAGAAATACACACACACACACACACACACACACAGAGCAAGCCCTTGTCTTTTGCAATCACCCGACTGCGCGGCGTGCTCCAATAGGCAGTCTCCTGCTCCAGCAAGATACAAATCATGTTTCCCATTTCAATTACGGCATTAGCCTATACATTTTATTTAAATTAAAGGATCCGAGGGAGGGGGAGGGGGATCGCACCATATCGCTGACAGGGGGCAGGGAGAAAGGCTCTCTCGCTCATTTAACGTCGGGATGCGGGCGGGCGGGGGGGGGGAAGGTTGCTTTGCAAAGCGAATAGCTTCCCTGGCTACGCATGTGTTTGTGAGTCTGTGTGTGTGTGTGATCCTTTCAGACCCCCTTCAAGAAGCAGTCGCAAATCTCATCCGTTCTCCAAATGGCCCTTCGCTGATTATTTGTAACAACTCGACACTGCCTGTACATCCTTCTTAATGCAGATCGGCGAGCATTTTCCACGATTTACCGGAGCTAAAGATGGGCGGGGGGGGTAAGGGAGGAGTTCCCAAAGAATAATAGAGACAGGCTTCCCATCCCCCCCACCGCCCCTGCGTTGCAGGGGGACTTCAGCGCTGCTGCTGCACGATAGCCCTTTCTCAACGTCCTCCTCTCATATATTATATTCTGTTCATTTTTACCATATGACTTCAGTCGGACAGTTCAATTTTTTTCATTACGGAAAGGGAATAACTCCTTCCCAGCTTATTGATGATCCCCTGACGCAAGCGCTGAGCTGGAAGAAGCAAGAAACCACTTACCGACCACGTGAACACAGCCGTGAGAATAAATACAATTATTTTCCGTTCCTCCTTCCCTCCAGTTCACCTCCCTTCCGGCGAAGGAATTCATCAAGAATTACATTTTCGTTTCGGATTTCGTTCCAAAGATGCATCGGAGGCGCGGCAGAGGCTAATGTTCGAAAATCGAAGCGTCTGCATTTGTAGAATGCGGGTTCGCTTAGCAAATAATAGCCTTCCTCTCCCCCCCATCCTTTCAGACCCCCTTGCTTCCCCACACAGCCTAAGCTACAAAAGTGGCTCGAACAGACTGCATTTTAAAGAGCGTATAATCATCAAAATGTCCGATTCTTGGGAGTTCGCGCTACAATATCTTGCACTGGCCACGCATTAAAAAGCACTAAGCATATGCATGCTATTTAATACCAATCATTGTTTAATCAGACATACGATATGCGTCTTCTTCGGCTCACTTCAGGGGTTTTGTTTTTCCTGCCATGGTGGCTAACTGGTGGGAATCAAGAGTGCATTTTAAAAGACGCCTTTGAAGAGATAATAGACAATTTTCTCCAAAAGTTGAAGCATGAAATTTGCAATGTGCTGCACAAAACGATAATAGATTGTGTCCAACTGAGCAAAGTATGTGCATTAGTGTTTATACTAGGACATCAGACTGGTGCTTAGTGTAAAAATTGTGGATGAGTAAACATTATATGAACGTTATTTCTGGAAGTTACGCTTAAAAGAAAACATTTATTTGACTAAAGATGGCTTTTCGCTAAGGCTACAGCCCTGAACTACTCTGCATGCTCACAAATCCCACTGCCTTGGAAAAGGGGCTTACAACATGAAGGTTTACAGTGGTAGTGATCAAATTTTGTTATCCAAACCTTTTCATAGTTGCCGTTCTCCTTAAAATGTCTGTGTTGAAACCATTCTCCATTTTCCGCTGCAACAAATAACCTGTTACTGCATTTTTCGTGCTGGTTAAAACAGTATAAAAATGTCCCAGAACTTTTTACACTGTTAGGATGTCATGTCAGCCATGATTTCTAATTTCTTTTGTTTTTCTGTCAGAGCATTGCACAATCCAAAACTATGCGTGTATATGAAATATGTGTAAATATTAAAATCAAATTGAAGAGTCAGAAATTATTGTCATTGGGGTCATTTTGCTCATCAGCAAGTTTGCAATGTAAGGCTTCTGGAAGTGAAGTATTGGCACTGGTTGCCCAGGGGACACCCAAATGTACTTGAAATGCTTTCCATTTTAAGAGGCAGCTCCTTCAATGTCCCCACATTTACTCTGATGTAAGGCCCATTCTGTCCTGTGGAGCTTATTCCAGGCAACTGTACAAAGGGTAGCAGTTTAACTTAATGTATATGATCCAAAAGTATTTCTTATTCAATATTCATTTGAAATGCAGTGCTGATTGCATGACATGCCATAGGTGTCCATTAAAAAAAAGCATTTTAGATCTTCTATTTCAGCTTATTTGGCTGTGGAAGTTAATTCATAATGCCTGTGTTCCCCAGCCTGGTGCTTTCCTGATGTGTTAAGACTGCAAGTTCCACCATCCCTACTCAATGTTGTGCCAGCTGAGGAGGGCAGGTGTAATCCAGCACACCCAGAAGATACCAGGATAGTCAAGACTGCATAAAACCATTCTGCATGTCATGTTTTCTTTGGCTTAGATTCTGTGGTGCCTCTGGCATGTAGGCTGCCTAAATCCTCAGCTCTTGAGTTCATGAACCTGGTTCACCAAAGTCCAAGAGGACAGTACGTACTAGCAGAACCTGTCACAACAAACCTCTTTGTGACATCACTGAGCATGACTATAGCACTGAGACTTAATGGCCCTCATTCCCTTTTCTTTCATATAACAATGGACACCTGCCACCCTTTAACACCCTTGGGTTGTCTGGAAATGTTTTATACTGGATGTATTTAACTAAATTGCACTTTGCTTTGGCTTAATAAAATAAGAGAGATAATTATTTATAGTACTATTTGGATACGATGCTGTGTCACGGGAACAAACAGAGTGTAACAAGTATTTACTTGGGTTTCTTTCATAGCATTTTTGTTTGTTTCTTTGTTGAGGTTATAACATGTCCACATTAAGATCTGTGAAACAAGGGAAACTGCATTTTTCAGACAACAAAACTGTAAATTAAGGCAGCACAGAGTTCAGAATTATTGTATGGATTGGGGTTTGGTTATGTCTGCTTCAGTACAACTCTATATTAAGTACAAACAAATAGCTTTTAAGTTATTACAAATATTTGCATTATAAGAAGGGCCTTCTGCTCTTTCATTAAAGCTAAATGGGGACCTAGCCCTGTACAATGGAAATCCATTAGTGATTCTGAAGGGAGAGACCTGATTGTGATTTATTAATTTTGTTGCTATCAAAATGATCTCTTGTGAGGGAGGAATGTTCAACTTGAGCACAGCATAGGGTTAGAAGAGCCTGGATTTTACTGTCCGTGCCGCCTGCAAGGTTCTGGGAGTTGCAGTCCAAAAATGGAATTTTCCCCATCTTTGCTGTAAGTGCTTGTGATATATTTTTGCTAAAGACTGATAGCAAATTCTTGTAATCAGAGGAAGAGTTGTGTATGTGGTCCAGAAAAATCACGGAAAAACCACACGAGGAGGATAATAAAAGATAGCAAGCTTCAGAAATGAAACTGGATTTTTGCGTGGATAAGGGTCCATGGTTTAATGCCTCCTGTTACAGAGATCCTCAGGCCAGTTTCATGGGGAAACTACGATTTCATCTCCATCACTTGAGTTTTGAAATTCAGAACTAAGATTGGTTCTGGATATACAATTTCAGGAAATGCAGTTCTGCTCCTCAAATGTTAGCACTATGTTAGCATCCTGCATGGAGCTGAACGCATACTACTTCAAGTGACAAGATCTTTATGCATTCAGACACAGCACTGGGGGCTACTACTGGGTCGGAAGAAGAAATTAGAAGTAAATTAAATGGGACTGGATTTTTAAAAAACCCAGAAAGTTCCGAAGCCTGAGAAACACATGTGAAGTGGCTTAAACAGCCATCCTGTTCTTAAACCACAAAATGAAACTCTTCCAGGAGTGAAAAGAGAAATTTGTAAGAATGGTTCTGTTTATAGCAGTGCAATCGCAATATGTTGTGTCAACTCTTGGAAGATCCTCCATAGAGACAGGCTCAGAATACACAGCCCTATGCTAACAGAAGTAAAAGCTTGTAAAGTTGGCATTTTCCATGAAAGCTACTGATTAGCAAAGTACAAATCACTGCAGACCTTGTCAAGCTGTTTAAACTGTTTCAGAATGGCTTTGTAATGATGGTTACTGGCTTAGTTGCAAAAATAATTTATACCAGTGCATTAAATGAAACGTACAGCCAAATCCTTCAAAATAAATCTATCCCACCGATTTCACCGGAACTCACTTCTTACTAAGTGTACATAGGAGTTAAACCTTCGCACATACTTCTTATGTTTCTTTACTCAGAAGTCTCAGCTGAACTTATTGCCAAGTAGGTGTGGACAGGATTGCAGCCTAATTAGTGTGATGTAGTTGCTAAGACTGTGAATTGCGATCAGCAGTAACCCTGGTCTGTGTTACTGGATTGTTTCAAAGATTAGTGATAATGTATGAAATATGTGAATTTTAAATTGTCATGAATCATTTCATGTTATTGTTCCTTGGGCAGAGTACCTTATTTGTGGGCCCTTGTCCTGCTCATTGGTTGAAATCCTGTTGCCCTGCTACACAAGCGGCGTAATTTTGAGATGTGAAGTGCCTTAAGTTAAGGCATCTCTGTAGGCCTTATCTGTTACACATTGGTTCATACAGCTCATTACTCCACAGTTACTGACTAAGATTTCTTCGTTTACCACAATTTGCTGTCAAAAGTTAGGCTGTTTGCATGACTACACAACAGGAATTCAACCATTGTTGGCTAAAGCAACATTCAGACCACGTTTTCTGTGATGACCAAATAATAATAATCCAGGATTGACAGTTTCTACTATAGCGAGTTTAGCTACAACCACCCATGGTGTTCTACTCCATGCAAATTTTCCTTCCTCCACTTCTGTTTTTCTCATCATACTTTTCGCATGCCGCTCCCTCTCATTCTTCAGTCAATGCTTTTGTCATTCAATAATATATGTCATACAAATAACATCCAATTGTTTGGAATTTATTTATTTATTTATTCTGAGAAAAGTTAAGTTAGGCTAACATAGGTCATTGCTTTTTAAAAAAAAACAATATATATATTTTACTTATTTGGTTAATAGTCTCAATTTTTCAAAAGCGACCTCTGTTTAGACACGTTTCACTTTCGGCTGTTTCATGTCTGCAAATTACAGTCATTTGCACATTATTATTACAGTGAGTGGGAGACAGATTGTATTTAACATTGGGTAGGGGGAAGGGTTATTATGGGAAGCAATCTGCTACGGTCAGCACATAAATCCAGCCTGAAGAAAATTGCTTCTGAATAGTTAGTCTGTTAGCTCGCCAAGGAATGGTCACTGGTGAGATTGCAAACATGCTTCTGCTTTATCTGAATTATATACAATCCTAATGTTACAGAAGGATAGTCCACTGAACAAATGTTTTTGTAACTGAAACTGACAGGGGTGAAACATCACTCCATCCCCACGACATTCTGACAATTCAAAAAGTATTTAATGGAAAATGGGTGGGAGTTTGGAAAAAAAAAAAAGCCAGTATTAATGGCTGTAGATTTTGAACCATACTGTTCCCTAAAACACACAATTACCCAGGGCATATTAGCAGGCACATGTGGTTACTGCATATTTAACAGCAGCATGTTGTTAATCAAGCATCAATGTCTCATCTCAGCCAGCTCTTTTCTGTTGTGTGTGTGGAGGGCGGGGGGGGGGAGGAAAGCAGGAACAAGAGACCAAATACAGCTGGTAAGGCTGTAATTGCGTGGTTCTGCTGTTAGTTTACATGCTTTAGAATAGCTGTTGCTTTGCAGGATAACAATGCTGGAGTTAATTACCACTTCTGAATACAAGCAATGATAAGATCAGTTCGTCCTGGAAAAATTC